AGTATCATTGGTCTTTCACATATACCACATTTAACTTGTTCAAATGATAATATATGTTTAGGATTTAGCCATGCCTTAATTTTATCATAAATCATAAATTATTACTATGATATATATATTAATATATATATGTGAGTACATTTTAAATAATTCAAAAAAAAGCATGATTAACTGGTTTTCCTCCAATTTTACTTGGAAATATGTCAGATGTTAAAGGTAATTCAGAAAGTTCTGCAAAGCCAAGTTCTACTGGTACTGTTGTTGTAGTAGTTTCCATAATAATTTTTTAATAAAATGTATTTTCCTTTTTTGTCTGTATTAAGGTTGATCATTATAAAAAATCTTCGATTTCCTTTGACAAATAATAATAATCACGTCATCTGTTATAAGAAATCAAAAAAAGTTTTTTTTTGAATTGATCAGCAACGTGTCACTTTGACCCATTTTTAAAATGTTTTCTGTATTACATAGTCTCGAATTGAAAACTTGTTTTAAATAAACCAATTATTTGAATTGTTGTTTTTCTATTTAAACAAAAAAAACACCAACTTTTTTATTGATTACATTTTTAAAGAATTTTGTCAATTCCATTTTAATTCAAATGGCAGGGAATCAAAAATCAAGCAAATGAAAAGTTCTTAGAATGTCCTTGCCCAACCTGTAAGAGGACTAATCATTCATATTCTTCAAGCAGCCATTGTAAATTTCAAAACATCATGAATCCAAATCTGTTTCAGGAAAAAGGCACAAAATACATACAACGCACAGTCTAGAAAGATAAAGACCTTGAGCCTGCAATCCAAAGTTCCGTTGAAAGAATGACTTGAATTGATTTTGTTAACCAAACAGCACTTTATCACATGGCCCTTGGTGATTAATTTCTTTTTAAACAAGCAAAGGTGCTTTCAAGTATATATGGCAATGTTTCCAAGCTGTAACTACATACCATTGACACCACCAAAGAACCCATTATAAATGACAGTTATACACTATACACGAAGTCGAAACTATTTTGACCATTTGCAGATCTGGTCAAAATGGGGTCAAAATAAGGTCGAAACTGGTTTTTACTATGTAGTTGCCTCAAGTTGAAACATTTCTACATACAATGATGGCGAAAGTCATTTGATAAAATTCGAAACTTTCGAAAAATCACACAAGTTTTCGAAATCGAAATACCCTTGGCGAAATTAAAATCAAAATCTAAATTCAAAATCGACATCGAAATTCAAAATCGAAATCGAAATTCAAAATCGAAATCGAAATTCAAAATCGAAATCGAAATTCAAAATCGAAATCGA